TGTCCTTGTCTGGTTTTGGTATCAGGGTGATACTAGCTTCATAGAATGAGTTTGATGTTTCATGGAATAATTTGAGGAGTACTTGTGTTAATTTGTAGGGCTCGGCTAAGAATCCATCTGATCCTAAATTTTTCATAGTTGGTAGGCTTTTGAGAGTGTCTTCTATTTCATTGCTTGAAATTGATCTGTTTAAATTGTGTATGTCCTCCTCATTCAGTTTGAGTAGGTCATATGTCTCTAGATGTTTATTGATATCTTCAAGATTTTTTATTTTGTTGGAGTATAAATTTTCAAAATAGTTTTTAATTATCTTCTGTATTTCAGTAATGACCATTATAATGTTTCCTTTCTCAATGCAAATTTTAGTACTTTGAGTTTTCTCTTTCTCTTCATTGGCATGGCTAAGGGTTTAACAATTTTATTTATTTTTTCAAAGAACCAATTTTTTGTTTTGTCAATTTTTTGAATTGTTTCTTTTGTTGCATTCAATCAGAGCTTGATTTCAGCTCTGATTTAAATTATTTCTTGTCTTCCACTACCTTGGGTGTTTATTCTTCCTTTTCTTGAGCTTTGAGATTTATTTATCGACTTTCTATTCCTTTAAGGAATGTGCTAAATGCAGTGAACTTTCCTCTTAGTGCTGCCTTCACAATGTCCCAGAGATTTTGATATGTTGTTTCACAATTCTCATTTACTGTTGAGTCATTTTTAATTTCATCCTTGATTTCTTCTGCTATTCATTGGTCATTCAATAGCATATTATTTAGACTCCAGTTGTTAGAGTAGCTAATATTTTTTATTTCATTGTTGATTTCTAATTTCATTCCATTATCATCTGTTAGAATGCCGGGTATTATCTCTATTTTTTTTGGATTTGTTAAGAGTTGCTTTGTGGCATAAGAAATGTTATATTTTTGAGAAGGATCTGTGTGCTGATGAGAAGAAGGTGTATTTGCTCATTGATGAATGAAATACTCCATATATGTCTGTTAAGTCTAAATTATTGATTGTATTATATAGTTTCACAGTTTCTTTTTTGTTGTTGTTGTTTAAAGGATCTAACCAGTGGTAGGAGAGGTGTGTTAAAGTCACCCAATATTATTGTGGTGTGGTCTATTTGATTCTTGAAATTGAGAAGGGGTTGTTTGATGTATGTAGCTGCTTCATTGTTTGGGGCATAGATACTTATGATTGTTATGTCTTATTGATGTATGTATGATTCTTTTAGGCAGTATTAAATTTCCTTCTTTGTTACTTCTGATTAACTTTGGCTGGAAGTTCACTTTATCTGATATGAGGATGGAAACCCCTGCTTGTTTACATAGTCCACGTGAGTGATACCTTTTTTTTCCCATCCTTTCATCTTCAGTCTGTGGATATCTTTGCCTATGAGGTGAGTTTCTTGGAAATAGCATATTGTTAGGTCTTGTTTTTTAATCCAATTTGCTAGTCTATGTCTTTTGCTTGATGAGTTTGGGCCATATTATGTTCAAGGTTATTATTGAGATATGATTTGTATTCCCAGTCATTTTGATTTATTGCTGGTTTTTAACTTGAATTAGTTTCTCCTTTGATTGACAATTCATTCCTTTAGTGTAGTTCTTCCCTTTGCTGGTTTTCACTTTTTTTTTTCATTTCATCTTCATAGAATACTTTGTTGAGAATGTTCTGTAGTGAAAATTCTCTAGTGAATTCTTTTAACGTTTGTTTATCATGGAAGTTTTTTTATTTCATCTCCAAATCTGAAGCTTAATTTTGCTGGATACAGAATTCTTGGTTGGCATTCATTTTTCTTTAAAAGCTTGTTGTATGTTATTATAAGACCTCCTAGCTTTAAGGGTCTGGGTTGAGAAATAGGCTGAGATCCATATTGGTTTTCCCCTATATGTAATCTGGTATTTTTCTCTCTCTATCCTTATTTAAAATTCTATCCTTATTCCATATGTTAGGCATTTTCATTATAATATGCTTTGGTGTGGATCTGTTGTAATTTTGTATATTTGGGGTCCTGTAGGCCTCTTGTATTTAATTTTGCATTTCATTCATTAGGTTTGCGAGCTCTTCTTGGTTCATGGCATGGGGCTACTAAGGAAGTGACTCCTCTATTCTGCCATTGTCCTTCTTCTCCCAGTTTTTACATCTTAAACTGGGGTTAAGAAGAAAGGATATGTTGGATGCAGTGGTGCACACCTGTAATCCCAGCAGCCTGGGAGGCTGAGGCAGGAGGATTGCAAGTTCAAAGCCAGACTCAGCAACTTAGCAAGGCCCTAAGCAACTAAGTGAGGCCCTGTCTCTAAATAAAATACAAAATAGGGCTGGGGATGTGGTTCAGTGGTTAAGCACCCCTGAGTTTAATCCCTGGTGCCAAAGTAGACAAATAAAATAATATGAATAATTAAATAAAATAAAGAAGGAAGGATATATTGGGAATGAGCTATTGTGCATACCACGTTTAACTCAATACCTGACACACAGAATTCATGGAAGAATTTAAGTGTTCATTTTAGGAATACAGACAGGAGTTGGTGAACTTTGGCTTAGGGGCCAAGTTTGGCTAACTGCTTATAGCCATGCTCATGAGCCAAGAATGGTCTTTACATTTTTAAAATGGCTGAATCAACTTAAGAATAATCAAATAAAAATGATAACATTCTGAACTAGGAATATTATCTGAAATTCGAAATTTCATGCCCATCAATAAAGTTTTATTAGCACAATCACATTAGCTCATTCACTCATTGTCCATGCCCATCTTTGTATTCCAGCGAGAGGGCTGAGTCTCTGCCACATACAGCACATGGCCAATAACCCCCAAACCTGTCCTGTCTGGTCCTTTCTAGAAAAAGTTTTCACAATCCTGTTATAAACAGTAAAATCAGGCCAAGTGTGGAGGTGCACACACCTGTCATCCCAGCAGCTTGGGACGCTGAGGCAGGAGGATCACAAGCTCAAAGCTGGCCTCAGCAAAATCGAGGCCCTAACCGACTCTGTGAGACCCTGTCTCTAAATAAAATACATAATAGGGCTGGGGATGTGGCTCAAGGATCAAGTGACCCTGAGCTCAATTTCCAGTACCTTCTTCCCCCCCACCAAAAAAAACCCCAGTAAAATCAGCTGCTAAGACTAATGAGAATTTCCTTTTCATTAGCAGAAGTATGCTCACCCAGCAGATCTACAAAGACCAACTGTAAACCTGCACTTGGAAGAACAGCTCCCCCGGGGGGATCTAACGTGCTGCTCATAATTCTTCACAGAATTCTTTCCAGCACTCCTGGCATATTAATAAATTGGGGCTTAGGTACTAGAACGTTTCAGACACATGGTGTCCAAATGCTGCTTTGAGATCTACTCTAGCAGGCTGACTCACTGAGTCACACTACATCATTATTAATATCAAATAATAAACATGAGTAGCAGATAATTTATATTCCAACATGGTGTGTGTGGGGGGGTGCCTTTTAAAGTCACAGCACATTATTTCTGCAAATCTACCGAACAGGGCCACTGCTTTGAAAGTGAGCACTTTGATCTGCCGAGAAAATGAGGGAAAAGCCAAGAGACATCCACGGTGTAAAGCAACCTCGTACTGTGTGTTTGCAGAGAGCATCTGCTCGGCTGCAGCGCATTTCTGTTTACTATTTAAAGCCTCTTATTTGCGGAAGCCTCCTCGGACCATATGTTATCAACAAATGTCGCTAATCAAATACACACAGTAATTTTCATTAGAATTTTCTCCCCACGAACAAAAAATAAATAAAAATAAAAATAATTTGCCACAAAGGGAATATACCTCCCCAAATGACAGTAAACAGCCACCACAAACCTTTGACAACAGAGTGATATTGACAAATGTCTGTGTAAGCCAGGAACACATCCATGTTAGACACATTGGGACCCTTGGAGGATTGGGGTTTGTGCAGGTTGGTGCTGGGGGCGTTAGGAGGGGGCGATGTCATTTGTTGCCATGGTGATGCTCAGCATCAGGCCATAATTCATGCCGAAGACTGGATTTGCATGTATTCAAGGTATAGGGCTCATGTGAGCAGGGTGTGAAATCTGTGCAGTTCCTAAAATGAACTGTGGGCTTTCCAAAGAGAGAGATGTCATTTCCAGGAACAAAAGGGCTTGGGTCTCGGTGCTAAGAGAAAAAGGAAATCATTGCATGGTGGCAACTGCATTAAAATTTTTTGGTTTGCTTTTCAGCTGGACCGCATGGTCTCCTACTCCAAACAGATCCGCTGTGGGATCAAAGTGCGTCTGTTGTGATTTGGGGCCTTTGGTGTACTAGGAAGCTAAGGCACCGCTTACCTATGTAAGTGAGGCATTTGAGGTATAGAGATTGGGTTTTCTGAGAGGCAGAAAACCAAGACCTCCATTGGCTTCCTTGACACATCCACGGAACATCCCCACTCCAGGAATCTGAAATTGACTGTGTCCAAACCTCAGCTGGAACTTTCCTCCCTGGCCTCTGTTTTTCGAAGGCTTCCCCAGTTTAGTCAAAGGAACTCCTGGCCACCCAGACCTCATTGTTGTGTTCTTCTCTGGGTCTTCCTGGAACCCCATCACCAGAGCCTTCAGGCCTTTTACCTATATCACACATCTGACCATTGCTATGAAGAAGAATAAAGGGGAAAAGAGAGGTTGAAAGGACCGAGACGAGGGTGGGGGAGACTGAAGTAAGATGGCCAGGTAAAACCACACCAAGAAGCATTAAAAACCTGCAGGAGCCAGGTGCTGTGGTGCATGCCTGTAATCCCAGAGGCTGGGGAGGCTGAGGCAGGAGGATCATGAGTTCGAGGCTAGCCTCAGAAAAGTAGCAAGGCCCTAAGCCACTTAGAGAGACCCTGTTTCAAAATAAAAAATAAAAGGGCTAGTGTGGCTCAGTGGTTAAGTGTTGCTGGGTCCAGTCCCTGGTACCAACAAACAAAAAACTCCACCAACAACAAACCCTGCAGGATTATAGGATTGACATCTTATTTGTTTTTGTTTGTCTCCCATAGCCACAATGTAAACTCACCAGAGCAAGAATCTGTATCTATTTCATTCATCACTGGATCCCCAGACCTAGCACGGCACCTAGCACAGCACCTAGCACGCAGGAACTCTCAACAGGCACCTGCTGAAGAGACAGAGTCCCTGGACTATGAGCTTCTCCCCACGGGGCACAGGTGTGTTCCGCACATCCGTGGAGCTGAGATTCAAGTTGAGAGTGAAACTTTCCAATATTTGATTATCTGAGGGCATTTTTTTTTTGACATGGTGGAAGAAGAAAAAAGAAAAAAAAATCTAGATCATAAGCCTCCTAATGGGCCAGGAGGGTCCAGGTTGCTCACTGCTGTATTCTAGTCTTTAGCTCAGTGCCCGGTGCAGAGGAATCATTCAAATGATGTCCGCTGAATCAGGGCTGGAGGGAATCACACATACAACATTTCATGCAGATATAGGAGACCTGCATGCCAACCCTTGTTTTCTCACCGACTACACGTGTTTGGTCAAGGCATTGGCAGAGTCTGTTGGCTGACTGTTTAGTGGGAAAGGAGATATATATGACTGCTAGCATTTTTCCTTTGGAACATTTCTTGGAGTTTCTCTCTCTCTGCTTGTACCACTATTCTTCCTGTGTATTGTCAACTTTTTTCCCCCTCTATGGATGCTCCTTGATTTAGGATGGGTAAGGTCTCAACAAATCCACTGAATGTTGAAACAGACCTAAGTTGGAAACGCATTCGATGCACCTTTGCTACCAAACATCCTGGCTGATCCACAGGGTGTGTGGCAGAGCACAGCTATTTCCCCTTTTGAGGGCGGTGGTGGCTGGGAGTCCCTGTGGTTGCCCAGCTGGGCCAAGGAGTATGGCATCTCCTATCATCTGCTTTGGGAAAAGATCAAAACTCAAAATTTGAAGAAGCGTTCCTATTGAATGGGTATCGCTTTCAAACATTGTAAAGTCGAAAAGCTGTCAGGTGAACCGCCCTAACTTAAGGATGGTGGTAGAGAGAGCTCTTAATGTGTTGATCATAGGTGTTATAAATTCCTTGTCAGGTCATTCCAACATCTCTGCCCCATCTGACAATCACTCTGTCTCTTGAAACTGTATTTTTAAAAATCTCTTAGTATGTCTTCTAATTTTTGCTGAAAGCAAATTTTGTTAACATCTTGGGAAAAGGGAACCTAGCACTACCAGCAGCCTCTGCTTGGGTCAGTGGAGATCCTCTGTATCTACTGTCCGACTCCCGGCTGGTGCTGGTTTGTCCCTGTGGACTCACTTCTCTGATGGATCTCGGAAAAGCTGCTGCAATTCAGCTTGTTCAGCTCTTTCTTGGGTTGCAGGGAGGGGAATGAGGACTTCTGAGCTCCTCAGATGGCTGGGCAGGAAACCGGAAGCCAACAGAGTACAGAGCCTGGATATTTTGAGAGTTTAGCATGCATTATGCATTGAAGGGTGACTCATAGGAAAAAAAAATACAGGTGGTCAACAGGAAAATAAAAAATTCCCAACTAAGTCACATGGTAGTGTGGGGAGGACCTGTCTGAAGCTAAAATCGCAGAGATCAGGGTTCATCACAGGGTTTATCACAAGGTTTAAATGACAGTGTCTCTTTCTCTGAAGTGGAACTTACAGTGAGGCCTCTAAAGATGTCCTGTCCTGGTGGAAGGAGGTGAGCTGTTGTCATTGGGCATGGTGGCTCTCTCTTTCCCATCAAGAATTCTGCATCTTGCTGGGCACAGTGGCCCATGCCTGTAATCCCAGTGGCTCTGGAGGCTGAGGCAGGAGGATCTTGAGTTCAAAGCCAGCCTCAGCAACCTAGCAAGGCCCTAAGCAACTCAGTGAGACCCTGTCTCCAAATAAAATACAAAATAAGGCTGGGGATGTGGCTCAGTGGCCTAGTGCCCCAGAGTTCAATCCCTGATACCAAAAAAAAAAAAAAAGAAAAAAGAATTCTGCATCTCCATTACCTAGCTGACTTCTTCCAAAAATCTGTACTTTCCAGTTTGTGAGGATCTTCAGAGAAAATGAACTGCTTGCTGAAGAGCAGGGAGAGTATTTCATTCATTTTCTCCTGTCAGTGACTCAGCCAACCAACTCTTAATTTCCAACACTGCTTGTTTTCTCATAATAGCTTTTGTAACTTGATCTAGTTATTATAGTTGCAACCCGTGATTCCCATAAAAACCTGAGAGGCTGTCTCACTCACTAGCTGTGTCTTTGGAAGTGGAATCAGTCTCAGGACACCTTAAAGCTTGCAGCTGACACAAGGATATATAGAATCCACACTGCAGACAGCTGGCCAAACTCTCAAGAGGCCTGGGCCAGGGGAATCACAAAATGCGGTGCAGATCCCAAGGCACTGCAACCAGTCCCACTGAGAGTTTGACCCAAATGAGGAAAAACAACTGGGAGAGGCAGAGACCTAGACTCTGAGTTGAAAAAAGTCCCGAGGCCCACTTGGGGAGACTCCTCATCTACAAATGAGGAAGCTGGTACAGTGGGAAGGGATTGTGCAGTCAGGCTCTTCTGTTTCTGTCCCTAGAGTGTGTTATAAACTACCTAAGTTCATTGACCTCTCAGGTCTTGGTTTTCATGTCTGTATAATGGACACATTGACAGCTTCTATCTCACAGGCTACCTCTCTGCTTGACCCCCAAGTAACTGAGAGCCACTTAGTGCCATGTAGTGCTTGTGTATTTAAGTCCAGATGCAAGCTCAAGATCAAGGGCAACTAGCATTTTCCACGGAGCACAGGATTCAGAATGCAGGTTTTGCGGTCTCCGGCCTAGATGCACATTCAGCTGTACCATCTTCTACCTAAGTGACTCTATGTCTCTGAATCTCTCAAAGCCTCTATTTTCTTACCTGTAAGATGGGAATGTTTATAATGCCTGTCTTTTATCTCTCTCTTATGTTAGATGAGAAAATGCTTCTCGGGTTGATTCTCAGAAAGGCCTGCATAAATGTTCTTAATGGAAACTGAGGTGATAATTATTACGTGATATCTCCAAGCAAGTTAGTCCAAGCACTGGCATTAGAATCAAAGACTAAGGTAGAAACTGGCCTTGCAAATGTTTCCTGAATGTGTGTGCGTGTGCGTGTGTGTATGTGTGTGTGTGTGTGTGGTGTGTATTTTTCAGTCTGGTCAAAATGAGATTGAAACATGAATTTGGGTTTGATTTTTTGGGGGCAGCTATGACCAAAAGAGTAAGTGCTAGAAACTCATTCCTGTGTTCTCTGAGTGCCTGGAACTGGATTTCTTGCTCCCAATTCTCCAATCTTCCCTCACCAGACTTTTCTGACATCAGATGTAAATCAGATTATTGTTCAATAAGATCCATTCTTTTCTGCCTTCTCCAAGACAGCGTTTTTTTTTTTTTTTTCCTGGCCCCATGGATGTTGGGTTTGTCCATGTGACTGCTTGATTTCTGGGCAGAATATACATCCCTACAACTTCATTTAGAAAATTTCCATTTTCTCTTTCTTTGGCCAACAGAGCACCTGCGATGTGATGCAAGCACAGTCTTGAGGGGTCAGGCTTACCCTCCTGCACCTCTGTTGCCACCATGATCAAGGACCAAGTCCTCCTCCAGAAAGCTGCTGTCCCTTCAGTTTGGAACCCAGAGTGAGCTGCATTAAATAGATCAGAGCCTAACGTACAGTACAGTCAAGGTCAGTCAGACCCACAGCTTGAAGTACAGCCATCCAGCTGAACGTGACGTGGAATTATCAACCTCAGACCAATTTGCACATTCTTATTGAAACCATTTGAATGAGAATAAATGATGGTGGCTTTACGTCACTGAATTTGGGGGTGGTTTGTTATGAAGATGTAGCTAACCCATACAGCCCCATTGTCTGGTACTTAATTATTTGCACCATCCTGTTTCACCCTATGTTCCATAGATTGGTCTGGAGTCCTTGGTTGGAATATCACAATTTGCAGAGCCTGGACAGATCTTTACATAGTAATGTGAAATCTGTGGCAGCCTCTCAAGAAATACCTGCCTAATGAATTTGCTGGCTTGAACATAACCTCCCTGTTTTGTGTCAAATGAAGCAGAGTTCGTCCTCAGTGTGAGAACTGGATGGTGCTGGTGAAGGCTGCCCCAGCCACTGTCTAGGTTTCCTAATGAGCAAGTGTGTCAACATCTCCCAGGGCCAAGGCAGGCAGCCAATGTCTCTCAAACCTCTAGTGCTCCAGAGCTCCCAGGGGAAGCCCCAACCCCATCACAGTGCTCCGAATAATGCCCTCGCGTGGATACCATAACCACAAAGTCAACTTCATCACCCCTGAGTGTCCCTGACATTATGGCTCTGTCTCAGTGGGGACAAACTATGGTGGCACACAGAGGTAGCAGCACTGGAGAAGTTCAGGGCTGATCTTTCAGGACTTTGACTGCCCTCCAAGCAGTCAGCCCATCCCGTGAGACCCCCCTGGTTGCCTCTGGCAGAGGGAATTATGGGAGCTGCCACTGGTTTGCACTGGGAAAAGGTTGACCGCTTCCACGGGCTGAGTTCCCATCATCCTACAGAGAGGATCCCTGAGGACAGGCTATGCAATGCACTCACGGCTTTCCCCAGAGACTGGCATGGATTTATTTTTTTTTTCTCTGTTCAGCATTTGGGAGAAACCACTAGGAGTGGTTGTGAATGCCAGAAGTCTCAAAGGGAAATGAGGAAGGGGGCCAGCTGGCCAAATGCCCTTTTGTAAGACTGGGTTGTTGTCTTAAAGCGCTGGGAAAGCTCTCTGAAGGGCAAGTGCATGGGTGGCATGGGCCCCGTCTGGAAGCAGAGGATTGTTCTTCAAAAGCCACAGATCTCAGTTGTAAAGCAATATTAGCATCACTCAACCAGACCCAGATAGATTGACACCATTTCTGCAGAGCCAAAATTCTGCCTATGTCCCCCGCCAGATCTGGATCTCTTTTTTTAGGGGTGTGTGTGTGATACTGGGGATTAAACTTGGGGCACTCGACCATGGAGCCATATCCCCAGCCCTATTTTATATTTTATTTAGAGACAGGGTCTCATTGAGTTGCTTAGGGCCTTGCTTTTGCTGAGGCTGGCTTTGAAATTCCGATCCTCCTGCCTCAGCCTCCTGAGCCACTGGGATTACAGGTGTGCACCCTGATCCCGGCTGGAGCTGAATCTCTTTACATTGACCACTGGGTCATTTTAAGTTCCCCACCAGGCCTAGGTACTCTTACCCCACATAATATTAAATATACTAAAAGGTACCCCAGAGCATCTGTGAGAAATATTTACCAACAAAATAACAAAAAACTGTATGAAAGTTGAATTGAGTTGCAATTGACTAGTTAACAGATTAAATTTATAACTTATGTTATAAATGCATGTTATAGGTTATAAATAGGTAATACATTTATATATTTTTAACCTATACTATAACCGTTGAATTTAATGAAATATTGGTTATGATTCTGTAAGTCATCTTTATATAATTCAGAGTTAATACCTTTCCCTCTAAGGTTTAGATAATTTCCAAGGCTCTTGACAAACATTGGGCCCTGATGGTTATACTGTCAGAGGCCCAGACATACATAACCCAAAATTTTATGATGGGATCTTCAGTTTTCATTCTGAAATAATAAATTTAAGGGTTACCCAATGATAAGATCCAGAATTAATTTTAATTTCTTCTGATGCCAACTATATACCTCCTCTCAATAAAACCATCCTGATGCCCTTTGCCCTGGTTCAGTAAGTGAGCAGATTTTCCTGCCACATGTCACCTCCTGACGGGTATTTGCACTCTCCTTTGCTGGGTAGCTGGGGGGATATGAACTTGAGGGAGGACAGACCCAAGGAAGCGTACCTGGCATGTCTAGTGCAAGGGGCAATCAGCTCTGGAGGTTTGCTCACTTGCTCTGCATTTGGCAATAACAAACCTTTTCTTTAACCCCCTGCGTAGATAATGGTTATATAAACCTTTTAATGCTTCTAAGGCCCTTGCAAATGTTAGTTTATACTTTAACAGTGGAGACTTAATTTTTTTTTTAATGACACATCAAGTCTGCCTGCTTCCTTTATTTCCAGCGTCCTCCTCTTCCTTGTTTAGAGATGGGTACAAGATATGCAATTAAATCCATTTGGAGCCCATCAGCTCCTGGGTGCTTCTGCATTCTCGTCACTCTATCAGCAGCTCCGTTTTATTTTTTTAAAGCTTCCATCACACTGAGGCCCAATGTTTTGGAAAATTGAGTGGCTGAAAGCAAAACCAGGTGCAGCCTATAGGGAACTCTTAAGATCTGTGGCTTGAAATATGAGCTCTGGCTGGCTCAGGAGAAAACCTGAGCTGTCTGTGAGACCTCTTTGGTGCTTATGTTCCACACTTAGTACTTCAACAAATCTGTTTGGTCCTGTCTTCAAAACATAGACAGAGCTGGGTGTGGCAGGGCACGCCTTAGTCCCAGCAGCTTGGGAGGCTGAGGCAGGAGGATCTTGAGTCCTCTGATTCCATCCATTTTAGACCAGGTCAATGAATTAAATAAGGGACTCCTTGCTAAATGGAGCTGTTGGGTCTCTAATGAAGATGGACTAGTAGATGCTAAAGAAAGGACTTCTATCCTGGCCATGTGAGAAGAGCAAGATAAGAGATGGGAGCCGTAATATAGCATTGCAGATAATAGGGAATGGATGGGACACAGATGGTGCCACCCTCTTGGGATTTTCCAGGGGATGAGATAGTCCTCATTTGTCATCTCTGCTATTGCTCCTCCATTCATCCATCCACTCACCTGTCCAATCTATACTGAGAACCCGGCACTGTTCTAGGCTTGGAAAGAAACTTGATGAATAAGGGCGGGGGGAAGGTCTTTGAACTTAGGAAGAATTTCACCTCGCTTGGGCAAGACAGACACTAACCAAATAAATAAAGATGATTTTTGAGAATGATAGTAGCTACGAAGACAGGAGAACAGGGTCATGATGCAGAATGTGGCCCGGGAAGAGGTCCATTAGGCAGGGTGGCCAGGGCACATCCTATATATGAGGACATGCTGCTTGAATGGAGCCCACATAGAGGAGGGGTCCCCATCAAATTGCAAAACCTCTTTCTCTGGTCCCTCTTTTAGTGAGGTAAGGGGGGAATGAGGCAGGGGAGCACCGCTATGTTATGGTTTGCATGTGAGATGTCCCTACTAAGCTCCCATGTGAATGCAGGAATATTCAGAGGTGAAATGAGTGGATTGTGAAATGAGGGGTTCCCCATCAGTCCATCTGATCTGAAAGGACGGGCTGATGGTCACTGGAGGCAGGTGGGGCATGGCGGGAGGTGGTGGGTCACTGGGGGTGTGCCCTGGAAGGGTGCATCCTCCCTGTGGCCCCTCCCTGCCCTCTTCCCAGCCACTGTGAGTGGAGCAGTGTCCCTCCATCACGCCCTCCTGCCATGATGTTCTGCCTCACTTTAGGCCCATAGCAGTGAACTTGGCCCACCACAAACCAAACCTCTGAAACCATCAGACAAAATGGACTTTTCCTCCTCTAAGTTGTTCTTTTTTGGTATCTTTGGTCAAAGCGATGTAAAGCTGACCAACACACCATCAGAAGGGAGGAACCTGAACTTTTGGTCCTCATTTTGTCTCAGTATGCCCAGCATGGTGAGAACATTTGCTAAGGGAATAAATGAACTATTTGAGTTACTGCCAATCCGAACAACCATGAGTGAGTGCCCCCATGTCCACCTCCAACGCTCTGTCTCCCACAAGGCTTGGAAACATCTTAGATTGTTGTTTTACTCTAGGGTGGGTGAGATAATTATTTTAATCATAGTCACCACAATGGCCATCAATTCAGCCTACCAGCCTCTATCTACAGAGCATGTGCTCTGCTCTGAACCAGGCACTATTTCAAGTGTAACTCAAAAGAGAGTTCATTCATTCACTTAGCAAATGTCCACATATAACATCATTTAATCCTCACCGTGATGCTATGGGGTGGTGAGGGTCAGACACAGAGACTGACGCTTACAAATATGAAGATTGAAAAAAGCCACTCATTTGCTGAAAGATAGATGTGACTCCTCTTCCTTAGGTTCCAGTCCTGTTCTTGGTCAATTTGATTAATTGACTGTAGGATCTTAGGGTGGTATCAGAATATTCAAGAGTTCTGCTAGACATGGGCCTGTGGGCAGGGCATGATCAGGTCAGAAGGACGCCCGAGCTAAGCTGAGCTTTGTGAGTCCCTGGATCTTTTGACTTCTTTTCCAAAAATCAAACTTTTTTTTTTTTTTTTTTTTTTGGTGGGGGTTACTATGGATTGAACTCAGGGGCACTCAACCACTGAGCCACATCCTCAGCCCTTTTATGTATTTTATTTAGAGACAGGGTCTTCCTGAGTTGCTTAGGGCCTCGCTGTTGCTGAGGCTGGCTTTGAACTCATGATCCTCCTGCCTCAGCCTCCTGAGCCGCAGGGATTACAGGCATGTGCTACCATGCCCGGCTAAAAAATGCAACTTTTGACTCCATTATCAGAGTCAGTGCCCACATATCACATAGAAATTGTCTTTATTTAGAAGTGAAGCTCTAGGAAAGATCAATAAAGATCAGTACTTCAATTTGTGGAACTTGTTAAGTATGTTGATGAAGATTGCCTGAAGGCAGAGAGCCCAGGCCCTGGCCACTGGGTGTGACAAGACATTCTACCTGGGTGGCATGAAGTTTGTTGACTGAAAGAACAAGCTTCCCCTAGCTTGCCCTTCCCAGCCCAGGCTCTGTGTTCTGTTTCTGCTGCGTTGCCCTCATAAGCATTTAATTTGGTGATATATGCTGGAGAAAATA